GCTACTCGGGAGGCTGAGGCAGAAGAATGGCATGCATTCGGGAGGCGGAGCTTGCAGTGAGCTGAGATCGCGCCACTGCACTCCAGCCTGGGTGACAGAGCGAGACTCCGTCTCAAAAAAAAAAGAAAAAAAAAAAAAAAGAGAAGTGGTGCTGGAGGTTGCTAAGGTTAAGGGTGCAAAACTAGGAGGAGATTAGACGACAACAGGTCCTTCGATAGCAACATTGTTTCATTATAACGTTGACGAGAAAAAATAAATCCATTCCCTGTAGGGACCACTGCCTGTGTGAAGTCTGCATGCTCTCCGTATGTCTGCGTGGGTTTTCTCTGAATCCTCAGGTGTCCTTCCACATTCCAAAGATGTGCACATTAGGTAAGTCAGGGTGTCTAAATGGTCCCAGTCTGAGTGAGCATGGATGTGTGTGTGCATGTGTGTGTGTGTGTGTGTGTGCACCCGATGATGCAATCACATCCTAGACAGGAGCTGGGGCCTACCTGTCCCATGAGCCACTGGGATAGGCTCCTGCTACCCACAACCCCGAACTGGAATACATAGGTAGGAAAATGAATGAATATAAGTGACTGAAAAATAAAAATGTGTAAAGCATATGATGATCATACAGATGCAAAACAGTAAACAAAGTGGTGCTAGAGAGCTCAGCAAGCCACCATGTTTGTGATTATTTTGAACTTCACTTTGCAGACATTTATTCCTTGATTTAACCCACCACAAGGACAACCGTCGTAACTCACTAGTACAGCAAAAATAGGGTAAGGAGTTATTTTTTTTTAATTAATCATTTTGGTTGCATGTGTAGCTTGCAGTTACTTAATTAAATGTTTAATATTAGAAGTGTTTTGGTCTCGATTTAGAAATTTGGTGATTTTCTGACCAGAAATATGCCATAGGAACTTAACTCTTGTTTGTAGCAAATTATCAATTAGCCTGTGATAAAATTGGTTTCATGATACCATAACCAAGTGCAGGCTTGGCTGCATGCCCCTTGCCAACCCAATAACAAGGATGAAGTGCAGTGAAAGGAAAGTGGCTTTATTTTTCAAAGCTAGCAGTGGGGAAACAGCCCGCTTACACACCTCTGGAAACTGCTTCAAAAGCCTGGGTTGAAGGCAGAGGTTTCAAAAAGGGAAGCTCGATATGGGAGACATGCAGGAGTTGTGCCAGGAGCAGGGGTTGTGGTGTCTTGCTTCAATGCCTATCTTGAGTTATGGTCCATCTAAAATGCAGGCTGGCGTCATCTCGCCTGTGGCCAGGCTGCAGAGTATCTACCTTGGGGCAATCTTTAAGTGGGGGACAATTCTGCAGCTGGGCCTTTGTGCCCCTCATTTTAAATTAGCCCCTGGAATTTTTAAGAAGCATACAGTTACATAAATGTGCATTGGGTAAGGGAGTACCTTGTGGGAAATGGAGGGGAGTGGAGTTTCAAAGTATGTTTCAAGGCTATATTTTCAGACTAAAGAGAAAAGGTTTCTACAGTTTATTTCAAGGTTACATCTTGAGACTGATAAGAAAGGAGAAAAGAAAAAATGTTTTGTTTTGAAGCTAAACTACTTGGTTACAATACTTTGTTTTGCTTAAAATTAGGTTCCAAGGACCTATCCACAATAACATTAATTGAGGACTTACTGTATTGAATGGCTTATCACATCAATGTTGAAACTGATGCTCTCATTCATTCAACAAATTATTATTGATACGCATTATGTGTCACATACTGGGTTTTGGCAATGAAGAAATATTTCCCTCCCCTCCCCTCCCCTCCCCTCCCTTCTCTTCCCTTCCCTTCCCTTCCCTTCCCTCCCTCCTCTCTTTCCTTCCCTTCCCTTCCCCCTTTCCTTTCCTTTTCATTCCCTCCCCCCTTCCCTTCCCTTCCCTTCCCTTCCCTCCCCTCCCCTCCCCTCCCCTTCCCTTCCCTTTTTTCTTCTTCTTCTTTTTGATATAGAGTCTCGTTCTGTCACCTAGGTTGGAGTGCAGTGGAACAATCACTGCTCACTGCAGCCTCTATCTCCTGGGCTCCAGTGATCCTCCCACCTCAGCCTCCCGAGTAGTTGGGACCACAGGTGCACACCATCATGCCTGGCTATTTTTGCATTTTTGGTGGAGATGGTGTTTCACCGTGTTACCCAGCCTGGTCTCGAACTCCTTAGCTCAAGCAACCCACCCACCTCAGCTTCCCGAAGTGCTGCGATTACAGGCATGAGCCACCACACCTGGCCAAGAAATATTTTCTTAATAATAAAGAAATTAGATAGGCAATACAAGGTAATGATTTTAGAGTTGAGACAGCCTGGAGTTTGAATCCCAGTTCCAGGTATTTAATAGCAACATGACTTACACAATACTTAACCCATTTTGCCTCAGCTTCCTAATCTGTCAAAAAAAAAAACCCTTGTAGTACCTACTTAATAGGGTTGTTGTGATTAATGCGATAATTAGTGTAAAGCTTTAGAACAATGCCTGAAATTTAGTAATTATTCAATAATTAGCTATTAAAAATGTAACAGATATATATGTAACGTCAGATAGTGACAAGTGTTATAAAGAAAAAGAATTCAGGTTGGGTGCAGTGTGGCTCATGCCTCTAATCCCATCACTTTGGGAAGCTGAGGAGGGTGAGCTCAAGAGTTTGAGACCAGTCTGGGCAACATGGCAAAACTCTGTCTCTACAAAAACCACACACACAAAATTTAGCTGGGCATGGTGGCCTGGGCCTGTGATCTCAGCCACCTGGGAGGCTGAGGTGGGAGAATCACCTGAGCTCAGGAGGTCGAGGCTACAGTGAGCCAAGATTATGCCCCTGCACTCCAGCCTGGGTGACAGTGGGAGACCCTGTCTCAAAAGAAAAAAAAAAAAAAAAAGAATTCAGATAAGCGGATAGTGCATGGTGGGACTATTTTAGAGCAGCTGCTGCAGGAAGGCCGCTCTGAGGAGGTGACATGTAAGCAGGGACCGGAAACCATGTGAGAGAATATGCCATGCCATGGTTTGTGGAAGGACTATTTTAGATGGCAGGAACAAAGGCCCTGGGGCAGACAAGGGCTGCAAGGCCTAGGAAAGGTGGCCGAGAAAAAGACGCAAAGACAATTGTGAGCCAATCTCTACCCCTTTGTGCTCTTCCTGTTTACACCTTTGGAAGGCAGCTGTCTGGGGGGCTCTGCTCACTTCCTGCAGGTGCCCTGAAAGGCCACATGAGGGGCTGCTGTAGCAAACTGAAAGTCTTAGAGATGGGAAATAAGCTTAATGGATAGTATATACTTACCTTTATCAAATACTACTAGTCAAGTCAGAAGATATTGACAGGTCTACAATCTCTTACCTTTCTTAAAAAATAGAAAGATAATAGAATGCCTGTAACTGTGTACATATTAACATTCCAGAAAGGCCTGGAGTGAAATGAATAAAAATTGACACTAAGTGGCATCCATAAAGGCTAGAAATAGCTTCATGCAAGCTTAGTTTAGATTTTGCAGGGCAGGTTTTACTTCCAAAGGGTTACAAAAAAGTCTTTGGGTTTTCAGTGCTCTTTGAATTTTGCAATTACAGATAAATGACTGGGAACCTGTAATAATTTCCTCCTATGTGTCATTTATAGGATCCGCACTCTGGGAAACAACTTGTAGAAGACAAAATAAAAACCAAAACTCTGTGTAATTCTGCCTTAGCTACCATCTTTGAAGTATTTTATACTTGCCAAGTATAAATTCTTAAGATATTCTACTTGAAATAGCTGAAGAATCCCCTCTCTGGGACAGGTGCAGATTAAAAGAGCGCCACTCCATGATTTTCATAAAGGAGAAAATAAGGAAGGCAGCCCCTGTGGGCAGACCTGGGCCTACATGAGTTGATAGAGTTGACGGTATAAATGTAGAGTATTAAGTTCCCAGTGACCGGAATGACCTTGTGAACAAAGAGGACAACTTTGCCAGTTTTCCCCTCTATTCAGCATATTTTGTTTCTCAGGTAAACATGGCTTAAAGCACGAATGAGACGAAGCCTCAATGTTGGTGTCTACGTGAAGGCTTCCCGGATAGCCTGAATGTTCATAGCCCTTCAGAACAGATGGAAATACTGCATTTATCTTCATTTGAACCAAAAAGGTACAGATAGAATGATAACCTGAACAAAGCTCCCCTTTCAATCCAATTATTTAGACGCTTAGGACCAGAAGCTGCGAAACATAAAAACTGCAACCCGTATCTTAGTTATCTCGGCCTTAATGAGCCGCTGGCTGTTTTCCTCTGCACCCCCCTTTTCGGGGGTCTTGCTGAGGTCTCCGCGCAGAGGGCGGCTCGGTCATCCCGCCGCCGGGCG